TCCCTCAGACCCTCCAGACCCCCAATTCATACATCCCTCAGACCTTCCAGACCCTCAACTCACAGATCCCTCAGACCCTCCAGACCCCCAATTCACACATCCCTCAGACCCTCCGGACCCCCAACTCACAGGTCCCTGGAATCACCCAGCACCCCCCCCCCCAAGGATTCCCCAGGCTGCTGCCTACCCAGATTGTAATAGGAGTACACCTTCACCACTCCAGGCTGGATAAGCCCCGTGTTGAAGTACTGGTGAACTTTGAAGGTCAGACAGTCCTCCTGGTCGTGCGATATCTGGGAGGAAGTGAGGGTGGTCAGGGGGGCAACCTGGGAGGGGGGCCAGAATAGGATGCAGGGCCTGGGGCAATGGTGGGGGAAACTGAGGGACCAGGAAGGATATAGGGGGAGGGGCGGGATCTTTGCCACAGTATTAATAGTGTCCAACAAATTCATTTTCTATTTCTCCAAAGCTAGATGGCCCTTTTGAGTACCTTTAAGTTTGGTGTGGCCATGGCCTGAGTTCTGGCCAGTGGACTGGTGTCTATGCCTGTCAAAATGTCCCATGGTTAATAATATTCACTGAGTGTCTGAAAGTTGCTAAGAAGGTAGATCTTAAAAGTTTTCATCAAACACACACACACACGCACACACGTTATGACTATTTGAGGGGATGGACACGTTTACTACATTATTGTGGTGACCATTTCTCAATATATACATAGATCAAATCATCACATTGTATATGCTTAAATTCACACAGTTATGTGTCAGTTATATCCCAACAAGGCTGGAAAAATAAAGAAAAAGAAGGAAGGCAAGTAAAGATAGACGTAGATATACAAACGACAGACGAGTATATTTGAGAACATTCTAACAATCAGTGGATGTGGATAAAGGGCAGATAGAAGTATATAGAACTCTGCTGCTCTGTCATTTCTCTAGAAGGCTGAAATTATATAAACATTTAACAGTACAAGAATTAAAAACCAATCTCATCACAATCCTCTTTTCTTTTAGAAAGCGTGGATTCAGCGAGACTCCAAGACCCCACGAGCTGAGGAGTCATGAGGGGCCACGTGACCCTGCCCTCGCCTCCACACTGAGTGGACTGGACATGGGTGACAGACACAAACGCCCTTACCCTTAGGGGTTTTATTGTGATAGCTGCGTTACTAACGCTGAGTATTATTAACCATGGGACATGGGGTGGGGTGGTATGGGTCTGGGACTTAGCAGGAGACAGGAAGACATGAGCATGCCCCAGGAGGAAGTCCAAACCACGCGGGCCATGAAGAGAGCCAGCGGAGGAAGCCAGAGGGAGGGAAACGGGGGG